GGATCGCACTGCTACTTTGTGAGCATGTCATTCCTGTATGCATACACAATAAACTCTCTGTGTTTCTCACAGCGAACCTTTTTCTCCAACAGTGATGTGTTTGCTTATTCGTCTGAAGGATCTCAGTACGAATCTGTATCATTTATCAACAGAAATGAAAGCAGTTATAATACGATTCATGGTCAGCCTCAAACCCGCAGCTGCTGTACTTGTTTCTGCTGTGTAACAAGTAAAGGTTTATTCCAGCTGAAAAGAGAAGAAACACAACGTTTCGGCTATGACGTCTTCTTCGGGTGCCACGATGCATTGCATTAGAAGTTACGTACTTATTTTTTATTTTATTAGTTATGTATTTTAGCATGATGCAGGTCATAAAATAGTCGACAGGGACATACAGTTATATATATAAACATTAGACAGACTAATTATTATTTATTCGTGTGGTCTACATATTAATTTACTGATCAGATTAATTGAAATGTTCTGATTTGGTGTCCCTGCATGTTAATTAGAAAAACAACAATGTTGAGTCCTCAGCACCGCACCAAGCACAAGCACAAGCACAAGTTCAGCTGCTCTCCTTCTTTGTTTCACAGGCTTTTTCATTGCAATTGAGCTCAGAGCTGGAGATGATCTCCAGATAGTACTGTATTAACTAGCCTGCAACTTAGTGCACAGCTAAATCCCAAAGTTCATTGCAATTGACCCCAAGTGTGCTAATGTGAGGACTGAACTGACATCACAACACAGGAACCTCAGTGCTCTCTAATGTCCCTGCCTGTGCAGACTGGGAAGTGTTGTACTGTGTTGTGTAGTGCTGTTTTGACACTGACTGAAAGAAAACCGAACTGAAAGACACTCACCTCTCACACCCAGGTCAATAACAGTGTCATCGTCCATCTGTTCAGACACAACCATGCATGTGTACTGTCCATGGTCAGAGCGTCTCACATCTCTCAGTGTTAAAGACACATTGCCTCTGTGGAGCTCCTCTGGGAATAGACCAGCCCTGTCCCTGTAGGCTGGGTTCTGTCTTTCAAAGTTAAAACGACCCAATTCATACAAACACACAAGGTCAAAGTTATCCTTTCTAAACCACCTGATCTCTAGGTCCACAGCACTGATGTCTGGTGAGAGGTAACAGGGCAGAACAGCGTCTTCACCAGGGAAAACAAACACAGGAACAGCTGGACCTCGAACCTCAAACCTCTCTGAAAGAGAAAGAGCACAGCTGACATGACTCTTCAACCTCAACACAGACAAACACTCTGAGACAAACTGTAGATCATCACTGTCAGAATAAAGCAGAGCAGCTCAGTGACACACAGTGTTTTCTACAAACAGCCCATCACTGCTTCAGACCCACATGTGACTGAGGAGCACTGAAGATCAGTGAGTCTCATCTCACCATCTGCTCCTCTTCCTCACACCAGTGTTTCCCACACTGGGGTCTGGATCTCTCACCCAGGACCCTCAGATCCTCACCTTCACTCCCTGATAGAAGAGCTGTGACTGTGTTCACTGAGGGTCTGTTACTCTGCAGTGACAGTAGGGGGTTAAATCAGGCTCTTTTTCTGTGTCTGTCTCTCTGCTCTCTGGTCCTTTATCTACTGAAACACTTCACAAACAGAACCCAGATTAAGCTGTTGATTAATACATCTGATAAACAACAGGCAAGATCCAGTCAGGCTCCTTCTACAAGTGTTGGCTGTAACATCTCTCCATCTTCCCCAAACACACTTCTGATATGTTGTAATGTCCTGTGTGGTTTGGGTCACTCCAGGACTGTCTCTGTAAGTGATGAGTACCTGATGTAGCCAACCTTAACTCCCACACTGAGGCACAGACTGGCAGAGAGTGTGAAGCAGTTCTCAGGTCAGCAGTGTGACTTGGCCATGATTGACATAGTCTCTGAGTCTGTCAGCTCATCCCACAGGTGCTCAGGGCATTGATCCCAGACTGACACACAACATCATGAGCAGAAGAAAGGCTGATGACAAGAATAGACTGTTCAGCCCATCAGTGCTCATTACTGTCCTGCACTTTCACAGCACCAGGCTCAGATGTGAAAGTTCAGTGTCTGTGTCTCCACTGTGTGTCCTGGTGATGTGTTAATACCTCCCAGTGATGCTGCTGACACAGTCAGTCTGGTCACATGGGGCTCCAGTGCAGCTGATTGACCTAGTTTAGGGGTCTTGAGATCAAGACTGGGACATCACCTAAAAAATGAAAGAATCTGAATCCAGAAACCCAAGACCTGAAACCAGAAATCTGGAACCCTGATCCAGTGGTGTCTTCCTGCAGCCACCTGCCTTCAGTGTCACAGATCCTTCCCTCTGTCTGCTATCATCCAGTCACAGCACCATTCCTTCTCAGCTGTCTTCCCCATATTATAACCTAACTCCTCCTTTTCCTGCTCTTGCCCTCCTTCCTCTACCCCTGACGTTCTGCCTGGTTCATTCCTGTATATTCTATTATGTTCAATATATTCAGATTTCTCTGTTCATCTGGTGTCCTACCTGTAGAACAGTAAGCAGGCGTCCAACCATATCTTCTCTGTCCCCTGAGGTCCGACACAGCTTAATGGTAGTCCAGATTTTCCAATTCCCTCAAGACTCATATTCCCTTGCTCCACAATCACAGCTCCTTGTTCCAAGGACTCTGGAATTCCTCTCTCTACACTCCCTACATGCCCTGATGCTCATCCTGCCTCCTGTACCCCTCTTACTGCAGGAGCACATTAAACAAGGTGCAGACATGAATCTTGTCTGTCTCCTCATTCACTCTACTTGCTCCTTCCAATCCAGAAAAGCTCACTGTTCCCAGTGTGTCAAGATCCTGATCATCTGTGATCTCCATTTCAAAAACTAGAGTTCAACTCACTGTGGATAAAACATCTGCTCCTCCTACCATCACTGAATTCCTTGAAATTACTCAGTTCAGAAGAGTTTTCCCTCCTTCCTTCACCAAAAAGCTTGACTGCATTCAACTGAATTTTTTTTAGTAATTTGTCCACTAGGTCTGCACAACCCATGTCTTGCTCTTATCACTCTTGTCTTTGCTGGGTCAACTCAACAATGTGATGAAAATCATTCCCAGAGACAGTATTGTGTAGATCTAATCTAGACAACAGTCAGGTCAGATAAATGTTACAATCTTTATGTTATCAGCTTCAGAAATTTGATTCTTGGAAACTGTACTGAGATTTTCAGTCATCAGTGTGAAATCAGAGCTCTGGTCAGGTTATTGATTAAAACACCAATAAGAGTCTCTCTGTACCTGATCCTGAGACACGGGACTGGTGGAGAAACATCAGAGTCAAAAAGAGCCACTGTGACTGGTCAGACTCCATCTATGAAATAAAGAAACACTCTGAAGTAAGAAAAATACACTTATGAGTTACACTTCACATCTGAAATAAGAAAATCTCTGACAGAGATTAAATGTCTCTGAAAGACACAGGTAGTACTCTTTACTGAAACAACTTGTCACTGTGCCATATTCCCATTACCAAAAGCACTGATCTTGCAGACGTTTTCACTGAAGTCTATATCCAGAGCAAAAGTACTTCCTGTAGTGAGAAGGTCCTCTCGATCTTAGTTCTCACTTGACTGTTCACTCACACACTGCTGTACCTGACTGATCTCACTGTCACTCCAGCACACAGCAGCTTCAGTCCTGACCTGACTGTTCACTCACACAC